CCTTCATGAGTGAAGCTATTCTACTCCGGTGCCGACTCTCCTCTACGATCCGCGCTCAAGCCAGTGTTGGTGTTCTGGTATAACCTAATCTGACTGATAGAATCACTGAATAGGTGCCTGTCAGCGGAAGATTGACAATTTTTCCTCTGAAGTTACAAAAGACTGATGATTTGACGTCCTTACAGGTCTGTGCGCCCAATTTTGTGGGTGAAAATATGAAAATGAGTCATTTCTGGTGGATGTAGAAGGTACCCCGTAGGAAGTGCCTACAAGGGAAATCACGTCATTCATTCTAATGATCGATTTCGATGTGCAAGTCTGATGAGACACCGGAAAGTGGAAAGAGGTGATGGGAAAAAACGGTCGTAGTGACCTCAAAAATAATGGCTTGAAGTTGCTGACAGTTTGAACGGATTCCAGATATGACCGCCGAAGTTCGAACTGAACGCATGCTCTTTGCGGGCGGTTTACTTGGGACTACCACTGAATGTTGTGGATTAAAGCGGGTTGGCCTGTCCTGGAGGTCAGAAGCGAATCTTCCGGTGGACACGAGGTTGTCTTGGCTGTCAGCGAGAAGGTTGCATTCAAGAGATTGTTTGGATGCAAAGATCTTTTAACTCGAATGCTGTACGAAGAAGCCGCAAACTGGCAGCGAAAGAGTTGGCCAAAGTGAAAGCGAATTCTTAGGAAAAGTCAGGTGAGATGCTGGGGTAGAATTTCCAGACGGGAAGAGAAATATTCTGGAAGACGATCCGAAGCCTCTGAGAAGGAAAGAAGGGCAGCCTAGGAATCCTGAAAAATAAGTCTGGAAACCCTGTTACTAGGGATGAGGAAATATTTCGGGGAGAGAGAAAGCTCTGTGAGGAACCGCAAGTACATTCGCCTGAAGAGCAGCAAGCGAACCATATTAATTTTCAGTAGATGAGGTTGCAGAAACTGTAAAAAACTTGAAAAGTGACTAGGCTCGTGGAATCAATAAAATCTATTCTGAAATGCTGAAAGCTTTATTTGAACAAGACATTTTCTAGTTAACGCGTGTCTGTTCAACAATGGCTGCGGGGCAGACACCAGTGGACGGGGAATGGTGGTTGCAGCATCCCTTTTCAATGAGGGAGATCACGGAGTGCTCCAGTTATCTGAGCATTACCTTATTGAACCTCCCGTGTAGTGTATGTAGTAGCGAAGGAGCGAGGAAGGGAGTGCGCAAAGTAACTGACCCTAAGAGACAAGAAGCAATAGTGCATGTCTGGCCGAAGCACCTCTGACCAGGTACCCCAAACAGTTGAGACATCGTTGGTGTACGCTCATCCGATTTACATATGCTTTGTGGATCTAGAGAAAGCCTATGACCGGATACCACGCAAAAAAACTATGGGCGAGCCCGCAACCACATGAAGTCGATGGCCACTTGATATAAGTCACCCAGCCACTACACGGTGAT